CAGTCACTTAATTACATTTTAATGTGGAATCTTCAAAAAGTATCCATAAAGCTTCTTCATTTAATCAACTTTCACATCATTAATAATTTTTCTTGTTTACTTAATGATATTAATTTTCCAATCTCGCTCTTCCAAATGCTTTCAAATTTCTATAATTTACGTTTCATTACTATTTTACTCATCACATTATGTTACATTCTTTTCCTTACAAAATCGTGTGGCTCCTCCCACTAATGAAATTTCCTTTCCCTGTCATGAAACATCTGAATAATGCAATAAAAATTATTGTTATTTTTGAATTATACTTTTTATAGAAACATAAATGGTGAGGGTTAGTTTAGCAAATAAATTTTATTTTGTTATTAAAAGCAATTAAAAAAGTGAATTTTTAAGACAAGCAAAGGTATAAATTATTTGTGACCTCTATAATATGCAGTTCATGCCACCATTCTTGAGATAAAAATTCTGTATCATTTTATTGACCACGCCTCTCACTTAAAATACTTACTTAGGTTAATGTTTATAGCCCTAACCTAGTGCATAATGTTTAATTTAGAAATAAAATATTCTTTAAGGTTTTGTTTTATTCATAACTGAAGCTGCAGAAGGAGTAGGCCACAAACCAAGTAGGGCGGAGCAAAGCGTCACATCATAAAAGTCACCGTAATGTGGTGTCATCTATCGATGCTAGATTTAACTAGATCAGTCATGTAAATAGAAAATATTGCATACTATATTTTGAGAGTCGCGATGTGTAATTTTCAATATAATATGTTATATTAATGTTTTCTTATAAAATATAACTTTTCACAATATGTGTTAAAAATATATAAATTTTCATTTCATTTTTCATTAATTTTATTTTTTTTTCCTCTTTCATTGTTTCTCTTTCTTGTTTTTTGGTGTAGCTTTATGGATAATTTTTGAAGATCATATTAAAATGTAATTAAGTGATCACCATACTTAGCTAAAAAAATTCTTTTTTCCTCTCGAAATTTAATTCATATTCCCTGACGAGAAAGTTCAGCGCTTTTTCAATTTGGCCAATGTACACCAAACAGCAAAATCCATCTCAGACAATGCTAAACTAACACAATAATTAATAGCACATATGAGATCTTTAAGAATCGAAAAATGAATTTTACTGATAGGTGAAAAAATGACTTAAATATTATTAACTTATGAAGTAGTCGAGAAATTTTGTAATTGATAGTTTAAATAATTTTTGGGTACATGTCGGTTAAATGTCACTGTCGACTTAGTAACCTGTTGACTAAATGTCTTGACAGTTAAGTGTCCCATAGCTAAGTGTCCTGATGACTAACTCTCTGTGTCGGCCAAATGTCCATGCCGGCTAAATATTCTGTCAGCTAAGTATCCTTGTCGGCTAACTGTTTGTGTCGGCTAAATGTCCGTGTAAGTTAAATGACCTGTCGGCTAAGTGTTCGTGTCGGCTAAATGTCCTGTGGGCTAAGTGTCCATGTCGGCTAACTGGTGTCGGTTAAGTGTCCTGTCAGCTAAGTGTCATGGACACACTTGGAATTAGAAGTTGATGATAAGCCAGTCATGGAAATTGCATAGATACAGAATTAGTTTGTAAGATGTAATATGTAATTTTATTATATTGAAAAATATGTTGGTATACCTTTGTTCAAGCTAATGTTTGATCCTTTAGCCTTATTTGCTGGATCACTGAGCTGATATTCTTCTAATAGTGGCAAATTTTATATAACAGTATAATTTACAGAAATAGGAAGGGAATTGTATCTTATTTTTTTAAAAGGTTTAGATGTTTCAATAACAAATATTTCTACCTTTAGACATTTATGCTATTGAGCGTTTTGATAGTAAAATATTTTGAATTCAGGATTTGTAATTCAGTTCAGTTTTAGTTATTTTATCAATAAATAAAGTAGATAACAAGTATTTAGATGTATGCTGTAAAATTCTGTATTCTTAATTAGGATATTAGAATGTATAAGTAGTGGTCATCTTTTGATCTTAAAGTTTTAATATGAACTTTTTTATAAATTTAATAGAACGTATAAGAGTTTTAAGGTTTGATCATCTCTGCTTTATTTACTGATCAATAAATTAACTAAATCCTAAGACTGCCAGAAACAGTAATCAATAAGATTTATTTTATTTATATCCTATAAATTACCAAATTTTGATGTTTTCATTTGATTTGTGTAATTTAATGTTTGAAGAAAAGTATATTAATTTATTTTCCTTTCCTTTATTAAAATTCTTGCATGATTATTTCCAAAAGTAATGTCTTCCCCACCCTGTTATAAAGAATAAAATAAAATGTTCCAAGAATACTTGTACAGTGGAACCTGAGATACGAGTTTAATTTGTTCCAGCACTGAGCACGTATAGCGAATTTCTCTTATCTAGAAACAAGCTTCCCCATTGAAAATAAATCCAATTAATCCCCAGTTAATCGATTCCACACCACCAAAAATCTGATTACCATCTCATCTTCAGTCGACGTACCTGGTGCTATTTGGAGAATGTCCAAGTACAGTTTCTTAGCCTTAGCGCAAATGATAGTTTCTGACACCGAATCACCTTTTAACTGCTTCTCATTAATCCACAACAACAACAGCTTTTCAACATCTTCTGGGAGTTTTGGACGGTGTTTAGATATAACAGTAACTTTGGCCACATCGAGTTTCTTAATTTCTTCCTTCTTCTTCAGAATAGTGCAGATCGTCAATGTCGAACGGCCGTAAGTCTGCCAATTCTGCCACTCTTACACCATGCTTATGTTTATCGATGATTTCTTTCTTAATTTCAATGGCCATGGCTTCCTTCTTTTTCTTTGCAGCACTATCTTAGGAACAATCTTCTTGGGAGGCATCGTGAAATAATTATTTTCATGTTAAATGTAAAAAACAATTAACTCGCAAGCGTACAAACACGTAGATCAAAGAACATTGAGTGATCTCATGAGGGGATTCCCTGAGTCAAGGTGTATTGGGAAACGCAACACGTATACCCTCAGCCTGGCTCCTTGCTTGTTATTCGAGTCAATGCTCATATTTAGAGACAAATATTTCGCTCATACATTCCTCGTATTTCGAATTTCTCGTATATAGAGATGCTCGTATCTTGAGGTTGTTTTGTATCCCTTCCTTAAAATTTTATATTTATATCTGTATTTTATTTATGTAAAATATTATTATGCATGTATTTTATTTATGTAATATTTTATAGATTAGTTATGTGAATATAAATGTAAAAAGGAGACTAATAGGGTATATTGTCCCCCCAAGACAAATAAACTCGTACTGGAAATTAGGAATAAGGGAATTTATTAGTTTCATATTGAAAATTTATGAATTTCATGCTGGGAATGAGGCAGGTAATAAGTCCCTGTGTCGGTTGATCCATTTCTTGCAGGAGAGGTTTTTGAATCCAGCAAGGTTATGGTTTAGGTTAGGTTATTTGAATACGGCAAATCATATGAGAGCTATGTAAGGGGAGAAAAGCTTTTGTGGAGGATTTTCTGAACAAAACTGAATCATATTCATGTTATACATAGAAGAACCCATGTTTATGTTTCCAAATAACAGAATTAGTATGCAGTTTTTGATTTTTTTTTGTGTGTGTGTGTGTGCGTGCATGCAGTATTAATACATTGACTCTTTCTCAGTAAAGTTTTGAAAGCTTTTGTAGTAAAAATCGCACAGTGAAAACAGTGTGAAACAATGTTAAAACAATTTTATCCTCTACTAAAATATAATGGGTACTATGTTATGCACTTTGTCATAGTGGTTCTTCATTTCATACATTTCTGTTTGCATATAAAAATATATATACCAGAGGTTTTAAAAAGGTTGAAAAGGCATTTATGAAGAGAGAGGTTAGAGAAGAATCTGAGGAAATTCATTTGTTGCCACAAAAGCTCTTTATTTGAATGCATTGTCCTCCTTAGCACTTCTGATGCCATTTTACCCACAGTAGTTAGTTTTTTTCATAGATGTCTCAGTCTGAAGTGAATTTCAGGTTTATTTTATACTTCAGCTTTAAGAAATGTAGTAAAAGAGTGATCTTATTCTTGACGGGAGCATCAGTTCAGTTATATCTGCATGTTGCGTTATTTCACATTGGGGGAAAGAAGAAATGCTGATACAAATGGTTAATATAATGCCTCTAATGTTTGCAGATATTGAAAGTTTTTTTTCTTTATTTCTTATTTATTCTTTCTTATTTCTTTCTTATTTCTTTATATCAAAGTTTATTGGAATATAGTTATTTTTGTGTATGTATTATGTATAAATATTCCAGCCTGTACAATTGTTTCATATTTGATAGATTTGTCTTATTGAGATTAAAGTGATTTTTATGTATTGTATAAATTATGTACTTTCATATTTAAGATTTAGAATAAACGAGCATGGGTTCAGAAACTCCCTTATAATCAATTATGGTGACAAAACTTATAAATATTTGCATAAATTTAAGTGTTTATTTCTCCTATTTTATCCACATACTGATATCTCTGTTAAATATCTGCCATTAAATAAGTTTTTAATAGAGGTTATGGCTAAAAAATAATAAATCTGTTTAATTATTAACGACTTGGATCTCAACTCGTGAATTCTCCTTTAACAACAGATTTACTGAAAGAATTTATTGAACATTTTTAGTCCCACCACCACCACACAACACACACACACAAAAAAAAAAAAAAAAAAAAAAAAAACAACTATGGCTGTAATTTTTTTTTGGAGGGAGGGAGGGGAATTACTGATCTTCAGATAGAATGAAACGCTAAGGGGTGCATAAATATGATATTATTGTCAGAATTAAAAAAATAATGAATCATTATCATCATTATTATTTTGATTTTGTGAAATCATTTAACTCTTGAGACATGAGTGATATATGTTTGATATGTATTGTTTAGATGAAATCATCATAATTCCTTTAAGTTTACAGCAATCCTCTTCTTTGGGCTTTCTGTAATAAATATTTAACTTTATTTACAGCCTTATAAGCTATTGTCAAGATTACATCGAATTTGATTCTTTTATTGCTGGTGTCTTGCCTTCAAATCCTTGGATAAGTGATGATACTACATTATGGGCACTTAACAACAGAGAGTAAGGAATTTTTCATTGGAATGAAAGAGATGCTGCATAAATACCACTTTCATTTATTTAAGTTACACATTTGATTGCTGTTGCTAAAATTATTTCATATATGTATGGATTCTGTTATATAAATATGTACATTATTAAATTGTAGATTAAGTGAGGTTTATGTTATATTATTTTTTGCTACAATTTGTTTAATTGTTTTGAAGCAACTTCAGTGAACTCTTGTTTGAAAATTTTTAGCATCTTTAATGTAAGTTGTGAATTAAAGCTAATTCTTTTCATGGTAAACACCAGGAATACTGAGTTAGATTTAATCATTCCACCATGTTTTAACTCAAGGTGGTACATAAGGAAATATATGTAAGGATCTGTAACAGCTATCAGTTATGCTATGTGAAGTGTTGCCAGCTGCATTTATTCATTACAGTGCATGAGCAATAGTTGAATATTAATTTTTTTAAGAGAATGTATCAAATATATGTTTATACATTATTATCATATGAAAAAAAGGAGAAAGGGCATGTAGTGGATGATAGCAAAATCTATGTATCCTTTCAAAATATACTCGTATAAAGCCATCGAGCAATCAGAAATCTTAGAAAAGGAAGATACTGAATTAGTCTTATAAAAGGAGATAAACATCTGTAAAATGAAATGTTTTAAAATTTAATGTGTTTAAAATTTAAAAAAAAAAGAAAAAAAAACTGTTGCATGTATTTAGTTGAATATATCAAGAAGTACTTTTATGATTTGTTTCAAATTTAGGGAAATTACACACAGAGGAGATACTTTCTTTGCTGTCATTCTCGAAATTCAGATATGGAGCGTATGTTTAAATGAGTCTTAGCAATTCCTGTGCTTCAAAGAATTTTATACTTTACTATTGAAAACAAAAATACTGATTGGATTTTGTTTTGAAAATGTGCAAGGAATTTGTGTTACAGATCAAACTGCAATTTAATTAATCATATTAAACACATTAGAGTATTTATGATTACTTTTTAAAATTTTGGGTGGTTGCTTCTAAATAAGAAAATATTTCTTTTGGATTGACCATTAAAAATTACAATGCATTCTGTTATATGCACTTGCTCAGATTCACAACTGAAATGAATGCTTTGGGTATGAAATAGGAGTTATTCAAGCAATTCACGTAACTGCAACTCAATTATTCTTTAAAGTGATCTGCTGCAAAGGCTAATGGAAATTTCAGAAATAATGCAATAGTGAAAAAGGAAATAATTTCAGGGATGATTTTTAAGTCACATGCATATGTGTACTATGCTTATTTTGATACTTTATGGTCTTAAAGTTTTCAGATATAAGCAATGCCATTAAAACTATAGCTTGTTTAAAGTATGTTTTATGAATCTTTTCATAATATAAAGCTCTTTATTTTTAATTAACAAAACTTAATATATCAAGAAATGGAGAGAATTTTTTGATTTAATATTTACTTTTTTGAGTTATGAGGCTTTTCTGAGTTATCCAGTTGAGATTATAATTCATTATATACTTATGTTTTATTCATCAACATTTAATACTAATTTTTTCCCATTTAAATGTAATTTTCTCGAAGAATTTATTATTTTAAAAAAATGTGTCCTTATTATTATCATTATTATTTATTGAAATTAAATCTAAAATAGAAAATTTGCTTACACTTTTGCAGTTACGTGCATTTTTAATGCAGAAATAATCCCCGTATATTTTACTTTAAAAGCAGGCCAAAATCCTTAAAAATTTGTTTGAATATAAATATTGTTTCACAGATAGATATATGGCTGATGTACTTAATTCGAGTGGTGTAACATCCCGATTCCATAGGGTAGATGTCCCTACGGAGCAGCGAGTGAAGTTATGGGCCATATCACTCGAGGCTTTATTGAATGATCCTACAGGTATCAAAGAGTTTGAACGTTACTTGAGGACAGAGTATAGCCATGAAAACATTCTGTTTTGGAAGGCAGTTCAGTCTTTAAGAAGAGGAGGCAAAGCAGATATTGAGAAAAAAGTTCATGCAATATACAAGTGAGTGTATTTTTCTTCTAGTAGAATTATGACTAATGCACCTTGTTGAAATGGAGGATTAACAACAACTTCATTAAATTGGCTAATGTAGCAAAGAGCTACCAAATAGAGATCAGAGACATTAGAACATGCTGAGAAATTGTTTTGATTTGCGTAACAGAGAAGCATTTATGTATAGTATATATTTCACACACTGCATTTGCATCAATATTAAACAGTATTATAATAATAGCAGACTTTTTTCTAAAAACAGATTAATTATTTTATCTTTATTGGAAAATCTATGATAAGTAGTATGCATCGAGTGATCTGGAATCGATTAATAACGAGTGCCAAGGTACCATTTTATCTTTATCTTAGAACAGATTTAATTCAAGTCATTGCAATAGTTTGTAAATAATAAGAAAACTGAAATGATCAAAATGACCAAATCTTTTAAACTCGTTGTCAAAAAGTATTTTATTCATAAATGACAGAATCAATAAGTATTTTATTGATAAATAACAGAAAAATATAAATATTTAATTTCTATAACCTATAAAAATGCTTGAAAACTCTCAGTTTTCAGTCTGTAGTTATATTTGCTATTAATACATGGCTAATAATCAACATCTCTTCTGCTTTCTTGATTTAGTCACTAGAGACTAATTTTTCATTCACTGTTTTTTATGTATTAAAATTTATGTAATGTATTAATTCATGGAGATTCCAATTATTCCTTGCTCGGTAAGTTCCATATGTGCACTGTCTTTGATCAGTGATCTCAGTTTATTCTCCTGCAGATGTTTCCGCTGAAGGAAACTTTTTGGTTGGCATCATATGAAATATTAAATCATCTGTTTTATATGATTTTAAAACATGTTTCTAAAGCAGTATTTTTTTATTAGACTTTATATCCTTTGCTTTAAGATGACACACTAAAATTGACACTGGGCTGGGGGATTTTCAATTAACATGTTTCTAAATAATTTGTATCTATTGTTACTGAGTAAATCTTCATTGCTTTTTCCAGTGGAATTTCTCATTCTTAATTAAAATTAAAGTATAATTTGCTGCATTTTAGTAGATTTAATGAAAGTAATTGGAAAAAATAATTATAAATGCTAAAATTTACTTGAATCCAAATTTTAACGGGATGGATGGTAGCAGGTCTGAGATGGGTTCTCTCTCTCTATATATATACTATTCACATTTAAATTCTGAAAAGCAGATATTGATATATTTTAAAGAAGTACTTATTCAGTTCCCTGTTTAATCTTTCATATTGCAGTACTGTTATGCCTACTGAAATATATATATTTCTAAATAATTTCAGTAACAGTTTTCAGAATTTTCCAAATTTTGGAAAATACTTTTATTCTGCAGTGTAATAATGGCTTTCTTTCTCCTTTCCAAGGGTTTGCAGTCGTAATAAAGGTTTGAAAAACAAGGCACACATTAATACATGTATTTTTTTAAAGCTTGATTCTAATATACTTATAGTTTATTTCTAAGAATTTACAAGGCCTTTCTCCATTTTGAGAAATACTTATATTCTGTATTGTAATTACGGTTCCCCGCATTCTAGAGGTTGCAGCTGTAATGAAAGTTTTAGAAACAAGGCACAGATTAATATTTATTCAAAATCTTAATTTTAACATACTTCTAGTTTCCTTCACAGTGAGAAAAACAGGATATAATATTGACGTTCATTTAACTAAAAGCGTATTTAAAGAGAGTGCAAAATGAATTTTTAAACTGTATTTGGAATTTAATACACATATAGTATGCATTAATACTTATATCTGGTTCATTTTCACTGCTGAATCAATTCAGTAGTAATGGAAAGTATTTAGAATATTAGATTTTCTTTTGGCTGAAACTATTTTTCACTAATTTTCAATTTAAACAATAATTAAAAATTGTTGAGAAGTACAAGTAATATTTGTGTTGTGAAAAGTACAAGTAATATTTTTTTCCATTTGTGAAGTATGTAGATTCAAATAAATATTTAAAGGGATGAAATTTTAAAGTTTAAATCTTTGCAGGCCTTAAGCATTCTGTTTTTTTTTTTTTTTTTTCTTTCCCCTTATTGTAGTGAATTTCTAGCCCCAAATGCCCCATGTGAAGTTAACCTTGACAGTTGCACAGTGGAGTGCGTTCAAGAAGCCATGAAGAAACCATCACGATACACATTTGATGCAGCGCTACTTCATGTATACTCTCTTATGGAGCAAGATACGTATCCTAGGTTTCTGCGTTCTCCATATTACAGGAATTTGCTTCTCAACTCACTACACCCAGCACAGAAGAAAAAGTAATTGCCTCTTAGTCATGTAAATTACTCAGTATTAAATATTCAAAATCAGATTGTAATTTGTTAAGCTAGGAATAGTGGTACAATGTATATACATATTTGTATATTTGTATATATATATAATAATAATATATATATATAAATTTTTATATATATGAAAATTTTTAATAATTTGTAGCTTCTGCTTTTCCTTCTACAATTATCATAATTAATTTGTACCACTAAAGAAGACACAATGAAACATATTGTGTCTTCTTTAGTTTCATTGTCTTCTTTAGTTTTTAATTGTTTTTATTAGTGTTATTTAAATTTTACATCTCTTGTGTTTTTTCAACAGTGCTTGACATCTGTTTCAAATTAGGGATCCTGTAAAAGACTCAGCCTTTTCCAATAACTTATTAGTTTATATCTTTTCTTGTTTATATTTATTTATATTTTAATGTTCTATAAAAAATACTGTACATGCTATATTTAGCATTGCAAATTTTTGCCCTTAGAAAACATCTAATGATGATATTAGTTTTGTAATTCATGCCTTGTTAAATTTCTTTATTAAACCTTTTTCAGGATACTTATGTAAATGCTATAAAAATTAATTAATCTATTTACTTCACTTATTTGTGAAATCTTTTCCCCAGAAAGAAATTTACATATCTGGCCTTTGACTATAAGAAATTTCTAAAAGGTTTCATATATAGGCATTTTAAAATGTGCTCTTTTTAATTTTATGTTATTATTTTGAAAAGTATAATTGTTGCTGCTGTAAATAGTACAAGGTTAATTAGTTGCGTAATGTTTAATGTTTTGCAGTCTTCTAAATAAATATTCCATACAATATTTAAATGTGTTTTACCAAAATTATGTGAGAAAATGTAGAAAAATGTATTAAAAGACAGAAAAACTTAGTTCTGTTATTGAGACCCATGCAATGTCTGGCAAAAGTATTGTGCTTGCCAGACAAATACAGCAAAATTTTCTAATAATTATATGAAAAGTATTAATAAAAATGGAAATAGCTGAAATAATCCAACAGCAAAATCTTTCTGATATTGCAAACCTTATTCTACTCAGTTTTAGTCTTCTGTGAAGGTATCATTGTTTAATTATATTTTCAGAAATAACAGTTACCTTCAAAGGTGGTCATTATGAGTGTTTGCTATTACCCCCCGGAAATTAATTTAGTTTTGAATTAGTTACACATCATCTTGGTGGGAAAGAGACATAAATTTCGAGTTAATTTGCTGAAAATATTTTTAGTGTAAATTAATCTGAATAATTTTCTGAAGTACAAATGTTCTCTATCACAGCAACTGCATTTCAAATTAATCTCATGTTTGTAGTGTCTGTTATATTGTGCAGTGCTGATATAGGCAATTATTACTAGCTGAATAAAACAATGTTCTTTATATTTTCAAGATAGTTTATTTTTTTAGGTCTGAGAATTGTCAAATCTTTATAAATTAATCAACTTTGAAGCAATGTTTTTTTAAAAGCTGTTTTATCTTCTGATTCTCTCCCTTGTTATAATATCAATACTGAAATTTTATAGCTGCATCAAGAAAATTAGAGAAATTTATCAACTTTTATGTTAATGATTTCATCTAATTTTCTTCATGCAGCTTTGCTTTAAATCAGGGTAGTGTTCAAAACTATGAAAAGTTCAATAGTGAAATTTATAAGAAACCATATAGAAAATGGATTTATTCTTTTAATTTTTCAAATGCTTAGAATTTTATATTGAGTTATTTCTCTTTTAGTCTTGAATTTTTCTGTTTATAATTTTTTTTAATAAAGTGCAGGAAAGAAATGCAAATTTTATGAAGCATATAAATTTTTCTAGAAATCTGATGAACTTAACACTTGAATTTGAAAGTTTAATGTGTGTGCAATATTCTAAAATGACGTTTTTTCTTTTCATCTTTTAAGAATTAAAAAAAAAGTTCCCCATTCTTCCATTACATAAATCACCAGTCTTAATATTTTCACCATGTAAACTATTGAAGTTGAAAATATAGAGGGAGAATATTTCTCCGTTTATATGTCAGAATATTGTTAGATTTGGATTATTTGCTTAAGACAAAACTTATGGCCTATCTACCATGCAGAAGGATCCTGCCTTAGAAGGCTGTCAGAAGGAAAATTATCTTTATTTAACATTACACTTGAAGAAAATCGTGTAATAATCAAACAGCCAGCCAGTTCAACTGCTGAGAATAGAACTTGGATGAACTCTTAATGTAAGTGGTTTAAGCTGCTTGGCAGGCTATGTCCTGCCAAAATATTTTACTGCTGGGCTGTACACCAGGGTTTTCTTAAGTTATGAAACTGAACACCTTTATTATTTTAAAATTTACACTAAAAACATCATGTAGAGAATATTTTGTTTTGTTTTTTAAGTTTTTGTTTTTTCCACTTTAATTCAGATTCTCATTTGTGTATGGTTAACATATATGATTATTTTGATAATATGTTTCAAATATCCATAGGTTCTTCAATTTTGGTGCAGGAGTCAGGAAAAGGATGGTGAGTGCTGGTGGTAAGAGGAGAACTAATCCTAGCCACCTGTCAGGTAGCTCCGTTGACTTGACCCATATGAGCCATAGTTTAGAGATGGAAGAACCTTCTATGTCCAGTAGGCATTCCCATTCCACTAGTGATCTCCATGATCTTGGCATTCCCGGGGAAAATTTAGCCTCCAGCAGGTTGTTTTGTCTTACTGATTATAAAAGATTATGTAACATTTTGTGTGTAATTTGTTTCGCGTTATTTTTAAATTATTAAATTCACTTATAAGAATACCCACTGAGTAAAAGTCAAAAATCTCTTTGTTCTGATTGAAATTAAATTGAGTTGTAACAGTTCTTTTAACAAGAGATTAATGAAAGGAATAAAAGACAGAAACTATTGATGCGATTTGCTTGTTCTACAATAAATGGTAAAATATTATTGAACAATGACTTACAGTAAAAAATGATTATGAATTTACTTTAGAATTATTTACTTAATTTTTGCAGTAGTACTTAAAATTACATTTGTTGCTTCTTATGATTAACAGAGTGGGATTACTTAAAATATTAATCTGTACCAATTTTTTTTTTTTTTTAATATGAGCAATTCCAGCTTAATTCAGTTAGAAATATATATTTTCTGGGCATTTATTGAAATATGTATCTGTATATGTAATAACAAGTTTAATATGCTTATAGAAGTTGCCCAGCCAGTACATTGGATAGTGAGGCAGGTTATCATATCAATGGGCATGGGTTCGAATCCTAGAAAAGGCATCGATGTTTGTAAGTGTATAGTATCTGTTCAGCAAATGGACACTGAAAATGCATGGCAAGTTGAGAGTTTGGTGGTAGGGAAAGAAGAGTTGGGGCTCTTACAGCCATTCTCTGGAGTGTTTTCCTTCATAATTAGAGTGGAACTGCACAGTTAGGGGGATGAAACTATTCCTGTATGACCAATGGTGAATTTCTGGTGTTCAGCCCTCTTCTATCTGCATCTATATATTTATATATATATATAATGTTTGAGGCATTTTCAGTATTGTACTAATATATATATATATATGTATAAATTAGTACAATACTGCAAATAAGATGAAAGCAGAAAAATCTAAATTTAAATTGCATTTGGTTTGGAAGGATAATTTTTATTAAACTTTATTTTTCAGTCATTGCTCTTCAAAACACAAATATTTTAGAACCTTTAATCTTGATGAACTGAGCAACTATCTGTACAAATATCGCTCTTAAGTTTACAAAAAAATTTTCTAAAATTCATTTTACATATATGAAAAAATAAATGACTGAAAGTAAAGTTACTCTTTTTCTTGTATGCACAAAATATTAAAAAAATACGCTAACAACTGTAAGAAAGGGATTTGATATAAATATTCCAAAAGTATATAAATAAAAAAAGAGGAAATGAATTTAGAAATTCAGATTTCTGCTATTAAAGCAAACCATAAAATAAAGACTTTATGGCTACAAACAAGCAATGTAAAAACAAACTAAACCCAAAGAATGTGCATGAAATTGCAAAAGTAATTAGTTTTATTTTTATATGAGAAGTTATTTTTATATGAGAAGGAAAGTAAATTGATTTAACAGAATGTAAGCTAATTTGATATAGATAAGGTGCATACGAGCCAGTTTCCCTTAGAAAGTCCTCCACGAAGGCATCCCTCCCCTTACACAGATAGCCCTAGTGTGCTTTGCCATAATTAAATACACAACCACACCTTAACATAGATAAGAAATGTATGGGGCATTTAAGGTTGTATTAATTATTCATTTCCCCATTTCCTATGTTTATATATTATTGCTTTAGTTGTTTCTTACTTTTAACCATGTTTTCAGATTTTAACTTTTCTTTTGCACTAATATGCATAAATGTGTATATAAAAAGATATTAAAAATGACAAGATGTTACAGAAGTTCTTTAACTGAGAGAGAGCATTGCACATAAGTAACAAATGAGCTTCTATGTTAATAACAAGTATAAAAATAAACAAGTACATACTTAAACTCTTAATTTCAACTTATAGATAACAACGTAACAAAAAGTAATAAGCAAGCAATGAATGGGAAGGGTCAAATATAAATATAAATATAGAAATCATAGTAATAATAAAATGGAAAATTTTAGGCAAATAATATCAAAAATATTATATATTAAAAATTATACATATAAAAATAAGTATACCAAATAATCAAATTATTTTTAATTTTAAGTTAATTTACAAAGAAAAGAATTTGTATTAAGGATTGTAATCTGCATATCTGGAGCAATAGAACTATGAATTTTTTCCCTGAATTGTAGAATAGAAGCTAAGTTTTGACAGAGAATCTAAGTTCAGAAAACATTGTCTGCTATTTATTTTGCTTTTCTATAATTTTTTTTTAATATATGCGTGTTTAATTGGGAATTACATATTAGTATCATACTATGACAGAATAATAAATGAAGTTCTTTTTATGCTTAATGTGTAATATTTAAATACATTAAAAAAAAAAAAAAAAAAAAAAAAAAAGCTGTATATTTATTGTGGTAGTTTGAAATCTTTGAATTTAATTATTTTGAAAATATGATGTGTTAATTTATGTATGTAAGGTGCTAGTTTGAGGCATATTAAAAATTGAAATCATGAAGTTTGGTGGATGTTGCAGGTTGTCTTCACCATCGAGTTCTCGCGACAATGTACCGGAGGACAATCCAAATACTCTTCAGGTACCCCGTCTGTCTCCAGGTGGAGGAGAACCAGAAACAACATTAGGGGTGTCACTCACTGTACCCTGCCGCCCTACCAGCATAGTTGCCCCATGGGAAACGGAAAAGTGATTCATCTCTTTGTGTTGCCATATATAAATGTAACATTCTGAGTGAGTAAACTCAGTGCCTAAAATTTAGTGCTGGCATACATTCATGAATTGGTTAAGTTTTGGGCTATGACTCTGAGGACTAGTTGGGTTACAATTTATATTAACAAAGCGCGAGAATTTTCGCGAATTTAATTTTAAGCTGAGTGATATTTTTTACATGTTCCGTTTTGTATATTGTAAAAAGTACCAAATTCACTTTTTTTGTTGTAAATTAAGTTTGAAATTCAATAGTTTATTTATTCATTATATGATTTCAAGTATTAATACATAGTAAATTACATATGTTACTTTATAGTTCAATAGCAAATATATTTGTTATGCTTTATGTATAAACAAGTGATTTTATTTTAATTTGAAACAATTTTATTATTGGGCAATCACCTTCTTCGCAGAACCTAACCAGTGATACCTTAATGTTGATAAATATAGAATAAATATCGGGATGTTGCACAAAAATAGAAATTAAAAGTTAGGACTGTACTATCTTTGCAATTTATCTGTATCAAGATTAGTTTCCTGTACATAATGAAATTACCCTGGTTCAGTGTAGTTCACAGTGGAATGCAATAGTAGAGGTGAAATTTATATTTATAGAGAGAAGCAAGTAATTGTTTAGTCCATGTTCTGCAATCTTCATTAAGATTTAATAATTTTAAATTGTTTACTATATGAATCATCAATTATTTACTTTGTGAATCATTGATTGCAGTTAAGGAAGCTGTGATTGAATTATCTAAGTTAAAAAAAATATTGATAATGTGAGTTGGTTATTACATAAATTATTTTGTTTAAAATCTCATTATATTGGTGTATGTTTTCATTGAAATAGATCAAAGAACTTCTTGCAAACACATTTTATCTGTAAATGTTGCTAGATTTTCAAATTTACCTCTGTCCTGAAAATTCATTTGAATATATTGTACGATTTTGTTTTTGTGGATTTCTAGAAAAGGCATTATTGATAATTTATTTAACTATATAAGTGTATATATATTTTTCCCCTTGTAGCTTTAATAATCTGAAAAGAAAAATCTTCTAAAACTATATAAGGAACTAAACTGTTGCCCTGAAATTAAGATAACCAAGAACAAAGTAGATTTACGAATAAGAAATTGATTTCATAATGTATGAATTTTTTTCATACTTTAGGCAATTACAGAGATAATCACTGTGGAAAACTTGTAAGAAATGATTAATAAATAATTCAAGAATAATTAAGTATAAAATTAAGTAATTTTTAGTCAATCCCAAGTACGTGCTAATGCCAGCAGAATTATCACATTGAATAACTTAAGGAAGAGAGAGCTTGTTGACATTCAAAATAATGAATGCAGCTTAGGACAGAGGGAGTTGATTTTATATTACTGAAATACTTATAGAATGCATCAGAAATGCAAATTACATGGGACACATAACTATATTTCTTAAGAATAATCATATTCATATATTTTTAAATGTTTTTAAGAAACAGTGTTATTTTTCCCCCAGAAAGGAGAGTAAACTATATTCAGATGCAAAACAATAAAATTAATATTTACTTTTGATGTTGAATTTTAGTAAGCAAAAAAGCAAAAACTGGATTAAGTTATGGCAGGTTATTTTTTAAGAAGAAAACACTTGAACATTAGCTGGCTTCAGAGAGATGCTTTTGTGGTGATTTTCTAAAGCAACTGGTTCATGTTCGCATTATGTATGTGAAAAATCATAAAACCTGCATGCAGTCCATCCTATTCATTGCTTAGTACTCAGGATGAATTAAATGCTAATATTCAATGTCTCCTTTTACTTGGCTGGTAGCACACCAGACATTATATTACAGTGTAAGAAATACTTATATGTCAAATCACCATAGGAAAAATTAATTATGATTTTCACATCCACTGTGAACTACATTCAAGGACAGAGATGAGAAAACTGCAGTTGAATTTTCCTCGGAATCGAATAGTTTATTTTTTAATTTTTGTGTCGTGTTTGTCCCCATATTCTTTGTAATTTCAATGACTGTGCCGTAGATTTTAAATTAACTGTAGAACATATGTTGCTGTTGTGCAATTTAGACATGTAATAGTGTATGATTAAAAGACAGATATGAAATTGTATAAAAAGTGTGGAGAGAGATCTCTCATGTAATCTTGTATTCTGCCATTTTTAAAATATTTACATCCGGTGCTATTTTTATTTAAAATAATTGAAATCTCAGAAAATTTTGAAACTTATAAATTCCGTATTTTATTTAGAAATTTCTCAAGTGAAAAATTAATTAATTGCAATAACTAAAGTTTATAATTTTGGAGCCTTTTTGTAGTACTATTAGATAGTGATATGAACTATAATTTGAATTTTGTGATTATAAATATAAATAGAATATTTGTGGTTATTAAAACTAAAATAAAAATATTAAAACTGTTTTGAAGTTTCCAATTTTAAATTAAAATAAAAAGAACCATTTTTTGGGATTGGAAACTTAAAATTTTGTACTCAGATATTAAACACTTTTGTATTAATTTCATAATAATTTTCTAGAATTTTTATAGCAGGAAGTTTATTAATTTTTCTGCTGTTTTTATGCTTTGTGCTACATGATTTGCAATATTTATAGACCTATTTTATAATCAAGATCTCTCAGTTAAGAAATGAATCACTTTGTGAACTGGAGTTACTCAGTCATTTGACAATTAGTAGAATAATCTGGTGTATAAATAAATATCAAAAAGCAGATATATCTATTGAGTGCAGCTTGTCGCTTATCTGTGTTAGTTTGTGGTACAAATAAGTAATCTATAAATAAGTTATACGCTCGATTTTTAGAGCAGTATGAGAGAACCAAGTTATTAAGAGTTCTAGTCTCACAATAAATAAATAATAATAATAATAAAAAAACAGACATCAAAGTTATGCTAAAGAAAAGTTTTTATTCTGCTGTATAATGCATATTAAATATAATAATGTTGAAAGTGTGTTTTGTTTATTGTCTTTTTATTGCACAGACATTTCACTACACTTTCCACTTGATAGTGATATCCAAAATTTTAGAAAATTACAGTTGTCCAGAGAATAGCCAGCCCTGAATTTGAGAGGGTGCCCATTTGTTGAAACATAATTTCTTCAAAACAGCTAATTTTCTAATGAAAATAAGAGAATTAAAAAGTAGATGATAAATCCAGCTTTAAAACTGTATATGCATTTTGAGATGTGGCGCTATGATTATAAGAAATTAAATAATATTAAATGAAGGTGGGTCAATTATTTTATTGTTTTATTTTACAACATAACTGAAACTTTCCACAGTTATGAGCAATAGCGTTAACAAAATTAATCAACTGATGAACTAATTTAGAAGTAAAACAACAAAAATCAGCGTTATATTTTCAAATTTTCACGGGACTAGTTTCGATGGTTTTACTAAATGACAGCTGCTAAAGCGCAAATGAGATAAGATATAGTGATTAGATAAGATGGGAATGGCTGGACAGGATGAAATGAATCCAAAACTTTACATAATGTTTTGAGTAAAAACGTTAAACATTGTTAGACATCGATAAACTTCGATCAGCTGATTTCGTCCTCACCAAGCACACTTTTTTTTCTCTTCACCTGTTCTTTACATAAATTCACCACTGTATAACGATTTTTTTAGAAGAAGCTAAGAGACGAATTGAAATTTGATGCATTGCAGTGGAAAGGACTCATATAATCAGTAAAGATTTGTAGCTCAATGAGATAAATTTCCTAGTACAGAAAATATAAAAAAATCTAATAAAAATAAAGTTATATAAAATTGTATACCTATATGAATTCATATAGGTAATTAATTCTGAAAGAAAGTGAAACCACTGACAATTTCTTCTCAGCTGACATTTAAAAATTATAATAAGTTAAAAGCATTACTGACAGAAATACTCTTTGGATAAAGAGTCAAGATGATTTTTTTCAGAAAGGAAGAATGTATGCAAAGAAATCATTGGGTTTACATTAGCGTTAGCTAGCACATCTCCATCAGAACTGTCACTGCCGAATTACTTTAGCTTTATTATTTTGTAATTGCTACATTATTGCTTATGTTTGAATATTTCTTAATTTGGAAAAGAAATATAAACATTTTGTTTGCACTTTTTTTGCCTTTTGCTTCAAAGAAAACAAATTGTCCAGTATTCTTAAATAAACAGTTATAATGTCCTCGCTGTTGTCATGTGAAATAATTGCCTTATCATTGTAAAATTATATTAGGAAAGTACAAGAACTAGTTCTTAAAGTTTTATGCATAGAAGAGTAAAACTTAGAAGTTTATGCTTAATTTTTTTATGAGCCTGATTCTGCCAGATTCTCGTAAATAACGATCTAAACTTTTTCAGCGTTCAGAGGATTCTTTTGAAACGCTTAGAAACTTTCTTCAAAACTAATTTAGAAGTAAAATAACAGAAATCAGCATTATATTTTAAAATTTTCACAGGACTAGTTTCTATGGTTTTACTAAATGACAGCTGCTAAAGCGCAAATGAGATAAGATATAGTGATTAGATAAGATGAGAATGGCTGGACAGGAGTTAAGCTATTGGCGCCATCTATTGAAACGAAAACTAAAACATAATTTCCTTAAAAGCTGAAGGCAAAGAAAGATTGGAATTAGGGTCGTTAACTAGAATAGAAAGATTTTCCTGAATGTGAAACACCTCTAGAAAAATCTAATTCACCAACGGAAGATATGTTTTGAATAATTTTGGCTGCAAAAAAATTGAAAATGTGATCTTCAGACCAACAATACTGGGTAACAGACGACTTCTGTGTTTTCTTTTTTTAACATATTCCTCATATTCCTTAACGCGAAATTTTAAGGATCTCTTAGTTGGACTAATGTAAATTAAGCCGCGCTGGGAAGGAATCTTGTAAATACCCAAGGAATTCATATCCGGAATGGGGTCCTTGAGTATGGAACTCGGAATTTTATTGATAGGAGAATAAACGACCCGAAAGTTAAATTTCTGTAAAATACGTGCAGTTGGTGCTAATTGATGGAAGGAAAGGAATGACAATAGAATTCTTATAATCTCCTAAAACAAGAGTGTTCCTTTTGTGATCTTGATCATGAGCCGATTTGGAGGAGCAAACTTGATGTGCACAGAAAACATAGGAATAAAATGAAGCTAAGTTTTTCTTAGTCGGATGACCTAATATCCTGACGTTCTATCTTCCGGATACATCCATTCTGATCGCTGAAATATCTAAATTCAAAGATTCTTCAAAATACTGACTCTTAGACTTCTGTGAAATATAAACAAATTATATTTATATACAATTATTAGATTACGTTTACATGAACATTACGCGTTTTCCTTCATACAGTCTTTATATTTCTTGTTCTGGTTCTATTTAGTGCAAATCAGAGTTCTATTTCTCTATCAAATCATGTTTTTGTTTTTGATTATTCTAGAGTTTAGGTGTAACGGCGCTGATAGTCCAGAGTTTAGATGTAACATCTCCCATCAGTGAGGTCCGACGGTGCGGAGGAACTCAATACACACACAGGTTCAGACAATGAGGTGGGCCAACAACTCGTCCAGCTCTGGTCACCACGCGAGGACTTGAGGCAGGTTATGAAACGCAAGCAGCCTGACCAATCGTAGGGTTGTTTCTATGTCGAGATGTTCTGTCGGGGAACAGAGGACCAGCAGATTCGAGAATGGAGATCTCCAATGGAAAAAGCCGGGGCACTGGACGAAGCAGATTTCGATTTCTCGTCTTGACCCTCGCTGGTCTAACTTTTCCGTCTTTACTGGGGAAAAGTTCGATTATCTTGGCTAAAAGCCAAAGAGTGCTTCGTTTCTGGCTGTCTTCCAACAGAACGACATCGCCTACTTGCAACTCTTGGAAGTTTTCTTTCTTTATCGCCTGTTGTCTCAACTAACCAATATATTCACTACGAAATCTGTTTCTTAGATCATGCCTTATTCTCTGTCGATATTTGGCTCGGCAGTTTAGTCCTTTGGAATCTACGCTGTCAATATCAGAAACTCCTGATAACCGCAATTCTTGGAGGAACATCATAGGGGTCAATGGTGAAGGATCTTGATTACCCTCTGATACGTATGTGGTAGGTCGCTAATTAATCACTTGTTCAGTCTCATAATATAGTATATAACACATCGTAATTCGCACAAGCTTCTCCACCAAAGGTACTCGGAGGTTAAATTTCCATCGTATCCTTTGGATAGAAGCAGCTGAACATAACATATGACGTTCCGCTTCACATCCTTAAGAACACTGTTAGTCCCTACGAAATTAGTTCCGTTGTCGGAATAAATCACATAAGGTCTACCTCTTCTAGCAATGAATCTATGTAAAGATTGGATGAAAGATTCTGTGCTCGAGGTGAATAGCTCTTTATATGGGACACGTATACAAGAATATCCAAGCTTTAGATCCATCACGGAGATAGAGAGGACCCGCTAGATCTACACCGACGACTTCAAAAACGGCCCCTTCTCTGTCTTCGGATGGAAATCCTGGCTGGACTTCTACTCTTTTTGTAACAAATCTTTTACATTTTACACATTTCCTGATAATATTTCAAATACTTTTCCTGTATTTTAATATCCAAAATTTTTCTCTAAGATTTGTCATTAAAGGGCTGACACCAGCATGCTGGAGTTCTAGATGTTTCTCATAAATTAGTCTCTGAACAAGAGGGTGTTTTTAAGGGAAAATGATAGGATTTAATTTGATGATAATAAATTGATAATAAATGATAGGATTTAATCGGAAATTTTCTTCATCTTGTCGCTGTAGGACGTTCGTTTTGGCTCTGAAAATTCCATTTCGGTCTACGATTTGTCTCAACGCAAGAATAGTGGGCTCTTTTATGCTTGTACATGATTCTTTCTGTACCAATCTACAAAGTATCTTTTCAGCATTCTCAAATTCATCAACTGAGATATAAGGGGTTACGTTTTTCTCTTCATTCTTCAAATTATGATAAAATCTGAAAATGCAAGCGATCATTCTCACGGTTTTTCTATATGAAGAGAAGTATTTGTAGTACCAGTCCAAATCGTCTTCATGTTCCAGAAGAGTCAAAATCGTTTTCCTTTTTTCTTTGTTTAGTCTTTTCTTTTACATGGGGCCACTAGTCTTCTGGTAGGTAAAGCCATGACGGACCCTCTCACCATGCCGATTTCTGTAATTGCTCAATAGTATATCCCCTGTATGGGAAATCCGCTGGATTTAAACTTTCAGATACATGTCTCCAGTCAGATATTCGGTAAGCGATCTTATTTCCTGTACTCGATCATGAACAAACGTATCCCATGCTTGATCTTCTCTTATACACCCTAAAGCTGTAGAAGAATCACTTCAGAACGTTGTTCTACAAATCTTAAGTTTCAAATCTGATAGAATTGATTTTGCGAGCCTCGCACCTAACAGACACGAAAGAAGTTCAAGATGTGGAATCGTTAAGTTCTTTAATTGGGGCTACTCGACTTCTTGCACATACTAACTGAAACTTTACACCTTCAGTGGTTTCAGCTCTTAAAAATGCACATATGGCATACACTGTTTTACTAGCTTCCGAAAAAAAAAAAAAAAAAAAAAAAAACGTGGAGTACTACGGCATCTTCGTTTTCGTAATCAATATTTAACCATCGAGGAATTTGAATCTGAGATAGCAGAGGTATTTTTTTCAATTAAGTCCCAAACTGCTCACTTAGAAGTAGAGGAAGATCTTCATCCCACTTTATCCTCTGGATCTTATTTCTTGCAAAATCAGCTTAGGAATTAGTTATCTGTCCGGTAAAGCCAAATGGAATCAAAAATTTTCTGAGTTAGCTGATAAAATTTTTCTTTTGGTAATAGTTTCTCTTAAATTAAATGTTTCTTCGATCTAGCAATTCAAACTGTCCTTTTCTAAATCTTATATTAATCCTAATCTCTATCTCATCAATCATGTCGATGCGAAAATTTGAT